TACTCACTTTTCCTCCAGCTAGAAGCTGGTAGTGTGGACGGATCAGAGATACCTGAGCTATGCCTAGGAAGGAACACAACATGAGCGTCTTTGTGAGACAGTGCCAGGACAATGTTTCCTTTTCTTTACTTTTTTTTTTTTTTGCTAAATCCTTCTCAAGCTCTCTGCATTGTACTGTACACAATGCATTTTTCTCTGCACTGCATTTTTCTCTCACTGAATGACATATAACTTTATATAAGTAATTTTAATTTATATTAATGATTTTATAAAACTACTGCCTGAGAACCCCCATCCGTCCACTTAACACCACTGCCAAAGTTACTGATGTGTTTCCAGCACCACCTGCTGGGAACTGGTGGTACTGTCAGACCAGAGACACCTGAGCTACACCTAGGTAAGGAGCACCAGGCAAATGCATTTATGAGCTAAGGACTTCAACAAGAGAGGCACACACTTCAGCAAGGTTTCCATCCTGCTACTTAATGTGATTAGGGAACCCTTTTCCTGGCCCCGGGCAAACAATCCTGGAAGTCATGTTAGTCAAAGGAAGTAAAGGGTAAAGTATCTATCCCAGGCAGAACAAACTGCCATAGGCATAGGAAAGGCCCAGAATGAGCGAATCCCCTGTACAACATCTATGGAGGTAGTAACTAACTCCCCAGGAGATTTTCTTTGACCCTCCCACCCCCACCTAGACCTCAACTTGACTTCCACAGCATGTTGATAAAACTTCTGCCTCATCTTCCTACATTTTAGCTCTCTGACTAAACAACCAACCGTAGGCCCACTCCACTCCCACCTGAACACGGTGTCTATGGTGTGCTCCTTCAAATCTTCTGCATCTTGACACCTAGATGGTGTCCACACACACACATACCACAAAGAGGGACAGGAGGGGGAAACAGAAAAAGAGGAGCCTGGCCTCAGGCAGATGCTCAGTGACTGTTAAAATGAGCTTCACTTCATCCCAAAGATTGGAGCTGGAGGAGATGAGTGTTAATATTGAAGTACTTGGGAGACACTGAATGGTGAGATTGCAGTAGGGACTGTGAAGGATGGTGGATGCCTGCCCTGGGCTCCCCAGAGGACATCTCCTCTGAGGCATGAGGAGCTCAGCAAGCCCTTCCTGATTGGGTCCTCCCAAGGACCGGAGGCGCAGCCAAGCAAAGCGCATCTACCTCAGCCACCTTCCTCCTTCTTCCCCACCTCCATCTAGAGAAGCAGCACCAAGTCGCTTCCACACTGAAGTCCAACCAGGGGCTTGGAGCAGTAATATCTCTGCAGGTCTGTGAGCAGTGTGTGGATGGACTCCAGAGCCCCTGGCACCCTGCCTGGGCATCTTGCAGCCTGTGACGTGGCCACGAGAGATGAGGAAGCCAAAGCCCCAGATCACAGATGTGGTTCTCTTAGATTTGGGGCCAGAGCTTAATTTTCCTCATTCCTTGTGCTTAGCTCCTCATTCTGAATTACTGTGCACTGTGCCCAGCTGCGAGTAACAAATGGAGAAAAACGTCTTTACAGGCCTCCCATTCCACATCAGTTCATGAAAGGTCTTCACCAAGATGCCCCTCTGGGGAACAACTAGGACCACACTAATCAGCCTTGTTTGGAGCGTCTTTCCCCAGACACCAGGCCTGTGCTCCATCTCGGTTCAGCCGTGGGGCCAGGACTAGTCAGTCCTCACTGAGGCTTCTCTGAGGCTTCTCCACTACTGCTGCCCTCTGCTGGCTCAGGAAGGTGGCTCCAAGCTCAGCACGCTCCTTCCTTAACTCAGTGCCCTAGGCTTCACTATCAGGGGCTCTTCAATATCCAGGACAGTTAAAATTTTAAGAAGGCAATGACAACTTTCAACAACAGAAATATCAACTTCCTCGCTTCCTAGTCCCTCATCTTCAAGAAGACATTTGCAATACTTCTTATTCAGCTTCTCCTCTCCTCAGACAGCAGACCCCTCCCTTTACCTCTGAGCCTGCTCTGAGCACTCTGAAAGGATGAACCTTGATTTCTGCTTCCTCAAAAAAACCAGAACCTCAGAACATTCCTGAATCTACTCTCTTACTGGGCCTGAGGGTGAAGGAATGTTTTCTACTGGAAAGCAGTGCTTTGTAAGCAACCAGATCCTTAGGAGAGAGCTCTTCACAGCCCTAGGGACAGCGTGGGACCCCACAGAGTGAGGTGGAGTGCAGCTGAATTAGGAGCACCCACTGGCTCACAGACTCCCCTCACTGTCCCTCAGGGAACCCTCTGCCTTCCTCCCAGACGGAAGGATTCTCCCAGCCATGTTATAGGAACTGCCAAAGTAGGGCCACGAACACCGGGGCTCCAGAATATACTGGAGAAAGAGTCTGCAAGACACAGGGAGTAGGATTTCCGCTCTGAGCCAGCACCTTGGCATGAACCAACCCTCTCCAGGGGCCAGCCTGGAGGAGAACATCTCCTGAGCGATCCATTCAGCCAGCCTCTGGATCTGTCCATGCATGAGAAAGATAGCAATCCAAGAAGGCCAGCGCTATGGTAAAAATTTCACATGGTTTTTACTCATTCTCGTGACTCCACTGCTTTCATAGATTAATAGGATTCTCTCAGTTCTGCCTTGATAAATTCATTTGTATCTTAATTATTAATCCATTAATTATTATTTATTGTTTACTTGTATCTTTACTTAATCTTTTCTCTCTAAAGCTGACTGTTAAATTGCTTCTTAGACTATACCTTTTCCAATACAGTGACAACTTACTGAAGAAATACTATGGGCGAGACCTTGAGCTGGATACTGGGGATACAGGCAAAAGTAGAGTAGGACCAGTCAGAGAAGCCCGTGGTCTTCCAGGTTCCCAGGTGGGGAAGAATAGACCCGTGTGCTCACTGGCAAGGCAGGCAGGAGTGAGCTGGGTTGAACGTGCGTGGGGAGTGAGAACAGATCTGGTGGAGGAGCCAGGAGTAGTGAGATGTCAAAGTAAGTCTACGGGGTCATTGAAGGAACCTACATCACGTAAGGATGGGACAGGTATTCCATAGAGAGGAAGAACCCACAGAGCTAACTCAGCTGGCATGGCCTACACTCATTCAGACTTTTATTCTATCACTCCCGAAATGCTTTTTTTTCTTACCTCTATCTCCTCCTAGAACTAGATACAAAGCATCATTCCGGTGGGAGGCAGGAAGACAAAGGAGGGTCCAACTGTTTAACTGCTTCAATACAGCAATTAAAAGTGACAATTGAAATCTTGATCTACGCAGGCATCAAGGCAGTGCTGCCAAACCCAGTGCTGAGATTATTCTTCCAGTTCTTGGGACTCTGTTGGAACAGAGAACCCCAACAACTGGAAAAACCTTCAAATTGGCTCCTTCACCTTAGGGAAGGGACACTGGGGAAGAAAATGGTGAAGGAATCCCCTGGAGCTCAACCTCCCCAGCAAAATTATAAGCCAAAGGCCAAATTTCGTGCTCTGAGAGGCCTCAGAGAATATTCAGCCTTCAAATACTTAAAAGGTGAAGGGGTAGTTTCCAAAGTATGTCTCCCTGGGATTTTAGGTTGAACCAGGCCAAATATCTGAGTCTTGGAAACAGACAGTGAATCATCTTGAAGCCTGTCTCTCTTCTGTGACAGCTGAAAAGAGGCAGCTGTGGTCTCTTTTCTGGAGAAAACTGGCAGCTCCTGGGTCTTGGGGGTCACAGATTCCAGAGTAACCTGGACTGGTAAGGACAGAGTGGGAAAGGGGCTGGGGCTGGGTTTCAGTCCTGAACTGGGAAGATAGGTAGCAAAAGAGGAGGTTGGGAACACTCAGACCATGAATCGAGTGGGCCGCCGGGTGAGACTCTCCTCAACAAGGCTCCGGCTTGTCAGCCAACTGTAGTTTCAGCACTCCCTGAGGCAGCACACACGCTTTAGGTAGGCAGCCTAGCACTGGGATTCACTGGGAAGTGCTGAAAATCTCCTTCAGACATCGAATAACTATACACCTTCTTCCCCTCGGTCACCAGTTCTGCTCAAGAGCTAGACACAGCAGCCAGGCCCCGCCCCGAGCGTCCAGACAGCGGGGCTGGGTCTGCAATCTTCCCATCCCCTACTGCCTCCTGCTGACCAGATGACTTCCCGTGAGGACTAAGTCCTACAGTTGCAAGAATCCATGTCATGACAACTGCTTTAAAGTCTTGAAGAAAAAGGCTAGGTTAGAGTGGAACGGTGTCTGAAACAAGTAAGGCACAGCTGTACTCTGCCGCCGGCAACCAGCTGCACTTCCATAGCCGCCGTGCTCTGGGGCTTTGTCCCCATTCTCCCCTAGGAGCCAGCAGCACTTTCCACACATGTCTCCCTGCACTCTCTGGCCCTCCACTCGAAGCACTGAGCAGCTCCCCTGTGCCAGCCACAGCCTGGCCGGCCCGCCCTGCAGATCAGTGTGCCTCCTTAAAGCAGGCCTGGCCCTGGGCCTGACCCACAGTGAGTGCCCATTAGTTACTGACTGCCCCGTAATGGAACACACAAGCCCCTGTGTTAAGAAGACACGGGCCTCAAATGTAAAACTGAAAATCCTACAGCTTTCTCACAGCCTGTACCTCCAGCATGACGGAGGCCGCAGAGCCCTGGCTCTTCTATGCCTCCCAAGATGGGCCTCTTCAGGCTCAGAGTTCAGGCCTCTGCCCCAAAGTCTAGCCTCCTTTGTGCCCTGAAGTCCACACTTCGTGCTGGCTGAACCCCAACCCTGATGGCCCCACCTGGGCCCACATTCTAACCTTCCTGCTTGCGACACCTCCCCTGAGAAAGGGGGGCACTCTGTGGGACTGTCAGCGGACTGCAGCAAGCTCCCCTGGTAGTGTGAGCCCCATAGGAAGCACAGAGAGGGGGAAATCCCAATGTTCCAATTTCCAGAAACTCCTCCATCCCTTCAGGTAGCCTCCTGACTGCCCCTGGTGGCTCTTCCAAGCACTGCTCCCCTGCAGTACCCATTTCCCCTCTGGGGCATTCTCTTCCCAGCCAGTGACCACAGCCAGATGCATACAGGAACAACTGGATTTATTAGGAGTGGGAAGTTAAAAGTAACAGCAACACAAAGGGTTGGGAGCTTCTGGCTTAGGGTCAAGAGGTAAAGTCATCTGTCTTTACCAATAAAAAATTGGTGATTTGAAATAGATTTCACTACACTAACTAAATAGTAAGGCAAAGAAGGAAGTCGGAGTAATTTTCCACTCATTTAAGGCAGTTAGTTTAATGCCTTTGGCTTCTCAAAAGCTTGGAAAAACTTGGAGTAAGTCAGGAGGCATCGTTGAAAGAATCTGCCCTCATTCTAATGTTCTTCTCAGACCTGCAGAAGCACCTGGAAGAGCAGCCTGTCCTGGCCACGGTGAATATAGTTCACAGGGCTCCAGGGGAGGGAGGCCTCGGAGAATAGCACTCATCTGTTCTCTGCTGGGTGCTAGAGGATGAGGCTCAGAGTGATCTGTTGATCCGCAACAAGACACCTTGAGTGGAGGTGTCACTCTCCTTGGGCCAGCTGAGAGGTAGGTTTTCCTAGGCTGTGTTCTTCTTTGTGACTGTTGGAAGGAGGGTGTAGAGCATTGGCAGGGAGGGAGAGGGCTTGGCACCTTCAGGTCCAGGTGGAGGGTGTGGTGGCTTCGGATGATTCACTTCTGCTTTGGGAGACACTCCTGTTGGCATGGAGGATGCTGCACAGGAGGGCACTTCTGCTGGCTGGAGGGTGCAGGGCACGGCACGGGCACCTTGGGGGGACAGTGCTCAGGCACCTTGGGGGGGCAGGGCTCAGGCACCTTGGGGGGGCAGGGCTCCAGGACCTGAGGAGGGGGTGGGCAGGGAAGTTTGCATTGTTGCTGCTGCTGATAGGACATCTTCCCTGGACTGGTGAAAGCCTGCACAAAACAGGAGACAAACATTTTTAACCTGGTGAGCAGAGCATCCAACCTCTCTAGGAAGGACTTCTGCCTCTACCTACTTTGGTTTTAATTCTCAGAGACTCTGCCCCTCCCATCATTCTCATTGCCATGATGACCAGACCCAGAATGCCACTGTGGCTGACAACAAAATAGTCACCTTGTGGCTGTCCACATATAAACCTCACCCAGAGAACTAGAGCACAACCTGAATTCTGTCTTCTAAGAAGAACATGCTCACGGTGGATCAAATGAGAAGAATGATGGGAATGGCCTGAACTAAAATACTATGCCAGGAATGATAGTAGAAAGAGGCTAGGAATCCTCATTCTGGGAAGGAAAAGTTGGAGAGGCCATAATGCAGTTTGCGTTCTCTACAAGGGCTGCCTCTTATGGGGAGCAAGACCAAACAGTGGTCTGCAGGGAGAACAGGCAGCCTGGGAGAGTGTTAGGAAAGAGGTCCCTCCCATCCTGGACTGTCCAGCAGGGGACATCAGTGCAGGGAATGCTCTCCCAGGCCCTACAAAGTCTCACTTAGGTGATAATTGAACAGTGATTCTAACACAGTGGGACTTCCCCTCTGTCAGGCAGAATTTTCCATCTTTGAGTCTGTAGGCCTGGAAGTGATAGAGGCATTTTTATCCCCTGCTCTCTTTCTGTTCTCTACGTCCACCATCACACTCTCTGGACAAAATTATGGTGACTCCCAGCAGTGAGTATATATGTGCCCGTGGTGCCAGCCAAATAGTCAGAAATAAGGGCCAAAGATGCCATCCACAGGGGCCAGCCACTATTTGTTTAAGTGCCAAGAGCACAGCTCAGCATTTCTGCAATCACATGTTTGATGCCACATCATGCTGGGGACAAGGGGAAGAAGCTCTGCCAAATAAAGATCATCACCATCACAGTAACAAGGAAATAAGAGGGATGGACAGGGAGCTATGAGAGAAACACCTCAGGTCCAGTTTTGCCGTAAAGTGGTTCTATGAGCCAAGAGTTACATTTACCCATAGGTCACTTCTGTCACAATGAAAACCTCTCACTTGGTTTGCTCACCTGCCTCCCTTTTGCCAACTCTACTTCTGCAGTCGTTTTCCTGTTAACTCTGAGTTTTCTCACCTCTGTCTCTGTGTCCCCACCACCACCATCACTGTCCCCACTCTGCTTCTATGAATCTACTACTTCCACAAACTCTACTTCGTTAAAATCTCTCTATTGTGAAAAGAAGGATGCCAGCCCACAGGCCATTGCCGGGGCCCTCACCCCAGAGGAGCAGAGCCCTCTTACCTCCTTCTCCTTCTGCTCCAGGACTCTGAGATCCAAGTGACATAAATGAGGCCACCCTGGGGTCCTTTTATCCTAGAGAACAGCCTGGCAAGGAGGAAATGGGGATTTCCTACCAGATTGCTCACTCAGATGTATCTCACTGCTTTCCTGAAATCAGTTGTCAAACTCCTACTCTGCATTTAAAATTCCAGTTTGGCAGCTCTCCCATGACTAGCCGTATGTTCATCACCCTGAAGGGTTTCCTCCAGGATGTGAGAGTAGGATACTCTTGTAACTTTTCTCAATCCCCCCAGAACCATCAGCGATCAGAGCGGATGGCTGTGGGAGAAACAAGGAAAAGAGCCTAGGGTCCTGGTCCCCAGGAATCAACACTGGGTTTTAGCTCCATTCCCTCCCTCTCCCTCTTTCTCTTCTCCCCCTTTGCACCCTACTTTTGTACATCATCTCATGCTTAATAATCAGGAGCCTTCCCAGGCCCTGTAGGTAGTATACCATCCATCTCCAGGGTATTCCAGGCCTTAGAGATTTTTAAAGAGAGGAACAATAGTCATTTTTATCAGGTTTTAGTTCAGCCAGAGGTAAATCAGCTGTCAGTCCCTCTGTATATGCTGATTACTATTCCAGACAAAATCCTTGCTTTCCAGGTATTTTTAGAACAATATGGAGAACAGAATATAAGCCTAGAATATATAAAGAGTGAGTAATGTAATCTAAGGGACTCTCCAGTATTTATAGTTGCAGAATGTTACTTTTCAGCACCTCGAAACACTTGAAAAAACCAGGCTGTGCTCCAAAAATCAAGTCTGGCTCCTCCCTGGTGGTAATAACCGTCGCATTTCCTCTGGAAGGTCCTTCTGCAGGTGATGAGAACCTTCTACTTCCGAGGCCTTCGGGAGAGTTGGGCGGGCCTGAAGAGACAAGAAGGAGGTTCTTGGAGGGTCTGGGTGTCTTGGTTGGGACTAAGACCCTTTCTGCTCTCCTACCCTCTTCTCCAGGTGTTTTAGGCAGAATCAAAAGCTCACAGACAGCACCAAACCATTTTGCCTATGAAGCTTATATTTGGTGTCAGGAATTCATTCAGATTGCTTTGGAAATAGTCATGGTACCAGGCAGTGGTCCAGGAGGGAGGACAGGGATGCAACAGAAACACAGCCCCTGTCTCTGAACTCACAGTGCAGTAGGGAGAGAAGATATGCAAACGCACAATAAGATGCAACATATACAGAGAAGTAAGATTACTCTCAGGGTGCTAGAGAAGCTCAAAACAAAAGAACAAACCCCAATCTGGGGCACAGGATTCTTTCTGGAGCAGATTTGCCATGAGGCAAGCGTGAACAAACTTAGCCATTGTGGCCCTTGGACGTGGCACTTCCACCACCTATGCCTTCCCTTCAGGACAGCAGTCCTTGCAGAGCTGGCCCAGGCTCCAGAGCCAGCCACTGTCCTTCCTCACAGCTCCTCCACTGCCATCTCTGGAGTCACCTGCCCCTCTCACCTCTCTTCCTGCAAGTCTCCCTCTGCAGATCCATGGAGCTGGAGTGACTCATCTCCCAGCTGCTTGACCATGCAATGAAGTGCAAAACTAGCCCTTTGCATTTCCTCGCCAAGCCTTGTTACCCCTCTCTGGAGTGTGGGGAATGGCTTCTTTGCTGAGCTCCTTTCCTTGGACCAATACCAGGGCTTCTGAGCTCTGGGCACCACCACTTCACATCTGCAGAATCAGAGCGTCTCCTTGTGCTGTGCAAACCTCACCGAGTGCGGAAGGATGGGGCAGAAGTTCCTGACCTGCCCTGAGGAAAGGCTTCAGTCAAAAAAATGAATCCACAACTCTGTCACCAGAAACTCTAGACTCCCAAGATTTATGGATAGCTCTTCATCACTGAAATTTGGGAAGAAAATCCAATCTTTAATAAAAGGCCAAAATCTGCAATTAATAGTGAGTGTCAGGCAGAGCTATAGGAAGAAATAAGAGTTTGTTTCTCTAGTTCTCCATGCCATCGGATCATGAGGGAAAGACCAGGGCTCTTTCTGGACCTAATAGCCCCAAATACTAGTGCTTGGACAGTGTCCTTGGGAAAGGACATTTGAATCACTCACAAACATTTTGAACTTTAGTTTTTCTGTCCACTAGGGGTGTATGTGTGTGTGTATGCGGATGTGTGTGTGTGTGATATTTATGTCACAGTAGCCAGAGATTTGTTCAGTTATTCTAGATGCTTTTGTGTAGATATTTTTAACGGGGTAAACATTTAAATCAGTAGAGTTTGAGTAAAGCAGATTTTCCTCCTTAATGTGGGTGTTCCTCATCCAATCATTTGAAAGCCTGTGTAGAAAGGAAGACTGACCTCCCAGCAGATTGTCCTTGGGCCTGAATGTATTGTGGATTCAGCCTGGGAGCCATTCCTTAAAATAAAGAAACAATATATGTATATAATATATATGCATTTGCATTGGTTCTGTTTCTCTGAAGAACCCTAGCTAATACACTTGCTCAAAATATGAAGTGTTTGCCTAGGGATTTGCAGGGAGCCTTGGTCACTGCAGAGAAGCAGCAGTGTGGGTAAGGGGGGGCTGAGAAGCTGGATGACTTGGCTCAGCCTTCGAGAGTCTACTCTCGTGGTAATCTTCCACCTGGGGCTTTAACACTCACGCCAACTGCCCCACCAGAGCCTGAGAGAGTAGGCATGGACTGACCCACACCTGAGCCTTCTGTCTCATTCTGAGCTGTCCTTCCTGCGGAGAAGAGAAGGGAGTGTCTCTCCTCACCAGGTAGTGCCAAAGGAGGGTTTTCTGTACTAAGAAGGAGTCTGACAAGCCTTTCCAGATCTAGAGAGCTACATCTGAAACAAGGAAGTGTAGGTGGGTGTTCTCCCAGCCCCGCCCAAGCTGAATCCACAATAAAAGCATCAGAAATGGAACCTCCTCTGGCTGCTGGGACCCATCCTCTGAGGACAGGTGTACTAGGAAAGGCAGAGGCGTGAAATGGCTCAAATGACAGGGAGAGTCCAGTGTGCCTGCCCAGGGGCCTTTGCAGACTGCATGCAGGTCACTGAAGGTGGACCTGGGCTATTCTCCAAGGGTTTGGTGGGAATTGGAAGAGTTAATGATGGCGAAGATAGATGAGTTAATGAGTAGATGTGCAAGTGTCTTATGAATAGAACTTATAAAATGCTTTTCTCTGATAAATTACAGGTAATTTACTGAAATTCAATGTTTCAGATGAGAAGAATGTGTGCTCTGTCAAGTTTCTTGTCCTAAGTCCCAGAGCAGATATGTGGCAAGTCAAACTAGATGCTGAATGTCCCCATTTTCAGTGCAGGTCTCTTTCATTCTCTTAGTTTAGATGACAGAACATGACAAACAAGAATGTGGGCTTGAGTAGGATCAGTAAATCAACAGATTAACACTGAAAATCTGCGATTGTGGGCTACCATTCCCGTATCCTGGGAAGCGGGATGGTCAGCTGCGAGGCCCTTCCTTACAGCCTGCTTGAGGTGGGGCAGGAGGTAGATTTAATACCCTCATCAACTGTGAGCTCACCCTACCTGGAGAACAAGACAAGCAGAGCAGGATGTGGAGAATGGAATCACAACTGGCAAAGGAAGAGACAGAGCTGGAGAAATGCCCTTTCCTTAGGGCAGACCCAGAGCCTGCTGGAGGAGCTCTGAGGAGACTGAGATCAGGCTCCTTCGATGGAAAGAAGATAAATGCATCCAGATTAAGAGGCTCACAGGCTGGGAAGGTCACTGAGGAGATGAATCAGGGTTGGGGAGGCTTCCTCTGTCCTCCCTCGGTCCTATGGAAGACATTTCTGACTACATCAAATGTGAATTTCTGGAATATTTCTCCTGAAAGTTTCTCACAAACACATGCCTCATTTCTGCTCTTCAAGTGACTGACTGATAGCAGGCACCCTTTCAGACACTGGCAGGAAGGTATTTTGTGCTCTTCATCCCCAGGTTGAGCAGCACCCTTTACTGCCCCTGTACAAGCACACCATGGTACGGTTTGGTGTCGTTTACCTCTGGACTAGCAATGGAGCTCACCCTCGGTACCTGCTTCACTATCGCACTCATGCATTTCATTCTTGTCAGCTTGGGCTGTGGTCACTGTTATCCCCGTTTAAAGGAGAAGCCAGCCGGGCTCACTCTGGCCTTGGTCTCCGGCCTCTTAACTCCACACTGGTACACTGATCCTGGGCCTGCTCCTCCTCTCCCCTGAACTGAGAACTGTGAGACCTAACTAACTCCATTTTAAAGTTTGACTCCATCTTAAAATAAGACAGTGAAGTGGCCTTGACATAAATTCCACTTCACTGAAGTCAACTATTCCCCTAGTCTCCTTTGTGCCCATAAACTAATGATAAAATGTCCTTGCTGTGGGACAACAGATAAAAAAAAAGAGACACAGCTCCTAACTCAATCCTCTGTCTGCCCAGAAAACAGATGCTCCCGGGCCCATTATCTATAGAACATTCTGTCAATGTGCTGATTGTTCCTTTTTCCCATAAACTCTACATGTAGCCACCCCTCAACCCTCCCAATGTGCACCCCATGCTTGCTAAATATCAACCAATCATGTAACTGCTAAATGGAACATCCCCAAACCTTGCGGTAGCCACAATAAAAACCTTGCTGGTTTGGAATTCGGGGCTCTCAATCCTGATCCGCTGTGTCAGTGACGGTTGAGTGCCCCTGCTCGAGCTTGAATAAACGACCCTCGTGTGTTTACATTGGAATCGGCTCCCTGGTGGTCTTTGGGGACTTCGCGATCTGGGCACAACAGAACCACACGGATGGCAGGGCACAGGGCGAATCACAGTCCGGGAGCGGTCACCTGAGGCCAGAGAGGAGGTCGCCCACAGTCCCAGGGGATTTCCTCAGTTGGAGGCTCTTGCCAGCTCTGGGTGCTGTGGACTTCAGAGCTGTGCTAGAAAGTTTGCTGGGGAAGTCATCCCTCAGGATGATGGCAGGCATGTGGTGATTTAACTGAGAAGCTCTAATGACAAAATAAAACACACAAAAGTATACCTTTCATTTCTTACAGATTCTCTTCAACCAAGGGTAACAGCAGCAGCAACACCAAGCCCCCTGCCAGCCCCCCACCCCAGGCTTCCTGAGCCCTGTCCCCTCAAGGTGCCTGACCTGTGTCCTTCCAAGTTACTCAGGCCCTGTCCTACACCCTACAGCCAGCAAAAGCACCTCCCTATGCAACATCCCTCATGCCAGCAGGAATGCCACCAAAGCAGAAGTGACACCTCTGAGCTACCATCCCTGACCTGTACGTGAGGAGCTGGATCCTCCTCTTCTTACCACAAACCCCATTTCCATGAAAAGCATGGAATCACAGACAGCCCAGAATAGACTACTTCTCCCCCAATGCAAGGTGAACCCTGAAACTTCCACAGTTAATCAGCCAGGTCCTTCCCCCTTCCCCATGTAGACAGCAGACTGAACAGCTGTGGCATGTTCTCCATGCTCTCCTTCCAGTCCCAGCCAGCCTGACCCTCGCTAGCTACCGTCACCTGGAGTGGGTAAAATGAGGCCTATTCCTCCACGTCTGTACCCTTTACCCACTGGTCTGCTGTTGGCCTCACTGACAATGTCTATCTCAGGAGTGTTGGAAATATGTCCCCAGACTCAGTTAATCAGGGCAGATAATAAAGCCCTCAAATATCAAGAACTCCTGACAAGGCATTTTACTTCTGCAGAAGGGCACAAGCATGAGGTAGCAGGTGCACTGAGCAGCAGGAACAGGGGTTTTAAACCTAGAATTGGAAGCAGCTGACCTTTTCCCCCATTGGCTGGGTTGAAGATTCACAGTCTATCCTGATTGGCTAGTTTAAGCAGCATAAAGGGTGGGCCTGAGGAGTTTCTGGGTAGGGTTGTTAAGGGCAGGAAGAGCAGAGGGGACAGGGTTTAGGGAGATGGTCCTTGGTATTGATAAGCTATCTCGGTCTGTTTCTCCAGAATTTGAACTGAGCAGACACTTCCCATAATTTCAATGCATTCATGAGGGGCCACATAGGGTGGACTAGAGTCTAACATGGAGACACTCTTGTTTATATCCTTTGATAGAAAAGACAGGCTGCAGTTTCTCACAGGAGGCTGCAGAAGAATCCCACAGACGGAAAAACAAACAACACAACTATATTCCATTTTCTTCAGATTTCAGAGAGCAAGACAGCACTCTCACCAGAGTAGCTGAAGTCGCTTGCCTTCCCTCCACCTCACCTCTTCCTTTGATCTTAGTGCTAGCTAGAATCGTTCCAGGACAGACCACCCTCTCAGTAATCTGCAACCCCAGTCCTGCAAGAATCACGGCCCAGCCTCTCTGCTTGATCCATTAAAACATTATCCTTGAAAACTCATGACTCTTGTTCAGTTAATGTCCAGACTGTTGTAGGTACATAAAGGTAACATTGACCACTGGGGACCAGCAAGAGTTATAGGAAAAGGACTAATGGCTTAGCTAGGGAAACAGAACCCAGGGGAAAAAGGAGGAAGCTCTTCCTTATGAGGACCTCCCTTGGTCTCCAAGCCCAGCTGACCAGTTCCCAAAAGGAGCTCAGCACTGATGCCCTCAGACACACTAGTTACTGGACAGAATGGGAGACATGGGATCTGCAGGGCCCTAAGGAGAGCAGAGGATAGAGCCTGGACAGGAGTACTGCTATCCTGACAAATGCCCTCCGTTTCAGGAGGTCTCATTCTCTGTTTAACCTTTGGTTTCCCAGGAAAAATGACCAAATTACCAAAAATGGAATCAAAAGTCCTCTGCTAAAGTTTCCTTAAAGTCTCCTGTCAGGGGAGAGGCGGGCAGGGGCTGAGGGGGCAGACTGCAGGAGGAGGGGGGTGTGCGAGCTTGTGCGGCTGGGGGAAGCCATTGCCTGTTTAACAGTTGCTGTTGCTGTACTTCTGCTTGTCTCCCAGAGAGAGAGAGACACAGGAGAGGCCAGGCCCAGCCACTGCCGCTGCCGCTGCCCACTGAGAAGCCAGACACAAAGAGAGGGGCTGTTTGCGGGATGGGGTGGGAGGTTTGCCATGTCGGATGACAATTGGAGAGGGCCAGTACCAGCTCCTCCTCATCTTCATCCTCCAACCAGTGAACCGAGAAAGAAACAAACACCCCCAAGAAGAAGGAGAGTAAACTCAGCATGAGCAAAAACTCCAAGCTCCTCTCCACCAGCGCCAAGAGGATTCAGAAGGAACTGGCAGACATCACTCTAGACCCTCCACCTAACTGCAGTGCTGGTCCCAACGGTGACAACATCTATGAGTGGAGATCTACCATGCTCGGGCCTCCGGGATCTGTGTATGAAGGTGGTGTATTCTTCCTGGATATCACTTTTACTCCAGAACATCCCTTCAAACCTCTAAAGGTTACATTTTGGACAAGAATCTATCACTGTAATATTAAGAGTCAAGGAGTTATTTGCTTGGATACACTGAAAGATAATTGGAGTCCAGCACTAACTATTTCTACAGTCCTCCTTCCTATCTGCTCACTTCTTACAGACTGCAATCCCGCCGACCCTTTGGTGGGAAGTATTGCCACTCAGGACACGACCACCAGAGCAGAACATGACAGAATGGCCAGACAGTGGACCAAGAGACATGCTACAGCAACTGGGTTTTCACAGTTCTGACGTTGTCTGTCACAGAAGAGAGCTGCTTATGATTTTGAAGGGGCGGGGGAGGGTGGGAGTTTAGGTAAAGAGTAGCGTATTTCTCTAACAGATATTATTCGGTCTTATTTCCTAAGATTTTGTTGTAACTTAAGGTATCTTGCTACAGTAGACAAAATTGGTAATAGCAACTTTTAAAACTCATTAGTTCTACAATATAGTACAGAGAAGAATGTACATTTTGACATTTGCATTCAATTTCTTGTAGTACATAATTTTTAAGCAGCTTAATTTTGTACAGGTTATACACATGGCCATTTATGTAAAGTCACTGTAGGGTGGCATACTTTTTTGTTTAAAAATTGGAATTTGTTTTTCCTTTCTTGGAAGGGAGCATTGATATTTAACAGAGTTTTTAGAAACTGTCATCATATATATATATATATATGTATATATAAAATATAGACATGTGGCTATAAGTCACCACGTAGGAAATGAGTAGTTAATGTATTTTATTTAAAGGTTTGAAATCAGGACTTGGGAGAAGCAGTAGTGAAATACCCTAAGCTGTTAACTGTAAGGCATGGAATAGGAGTCACTCAGTGGATTGGTTATATGTTGTAGAATTCTTACATATGCATTTATTACTGTGCTAATAAACCATATTAAAAACAACAACAACAAAAAGTCTCCTGTCAGAAGATACTCCCACCCTTTCCAAACCTCAAAAGGCCCCTGAGTCTGTAAGAGAGCACCTTCTCTCTTCAGCCTACCAGATCAGAGGCCTCTCAGATTTTTCAATAAACCTTGGACCGTTGAGTTCACATCTGGCCTCTCCCCGTCTCAGTGGAGAATAAATATTCCCCTGGAATTGTGTTTAAGTTGTTACACCATGCTTTGGCTACAGTAATGAAACAAAAGATTCAAAATAGTATATCACCCATTGTGTATTACATCTAATATTTTGAGTTCCTTCTAGTACAAAAAAAAGTGGCAATTATAATACAAGAATTGCTTTAAAAAAGCAATATAATAATTTAAATTTTTTCCTTGTTGCACTGAAGTTGGTGCCCACAGTGTGTGATGTTTATGACAGCATTTCTTAATTTTTATGGAGTTGCAATATATGTCTGGGTGCCCTGCATTCAAAAGATACAAAACTTCAGGACTCCAGTTGATGTTGTTGGAAATAGCCTCCAGACTCAAATTGTGCCAGAAAGAATGCACTCAGACAGCAAGCAAGAGGACTCTACAAGGCAAAGTTTCGATTTTACTTCTGCAGAAGGGCATGAGTGCCCTCAAACATGAGGCAGCAGGTACACCAAGGGGTGGGGAAAGGGGAGGGTTAAGGCCTAATGCACGGGAAGCAGCTATCCTTCAAATTCCAGAGCCCCTGAAATGACACAGCACCCTGTCAATCATTCCTGTCCATCATACCTAGAGATTCAGGGGAGGCTCCTGGCTGACGTGCATATGCTTTAAGTTCTGAAAGCCCAGGTTATCTGGGGGCTGCTGGGGGCTGTGTTCTGGGTGCAGTGCTTTTTCTTTACCCCAGCACCACTTTTCCATTCACGCCACATTTTTGTCAACACAAACTTGCCCGAGCACAACGTCTCATGATTGTCGATAA